AAAGGAGGCCTAATTAAACAGGCCGAGCGCTGGAAGCGGGACAGTCATGGAGAACAAGAATACGAGTGAACAAACGCGAAGCAACGTAATTACCAGGGAGTCGCATCAGTAAAAGTCAGCAAGGAGCAAAATCGCTATGCTGACACGTTCGGGAAGAAGCAAGTTACCGGAGGCTAGGTTGAGGAGCCTTGCTACAACACAAATCGATAACAGACCCTGACGTTGGCCCGGCGAGTCCGATAGTATTTGAACAGGCAGGCCCGATCCTAGCAAGGACCAGCGTGCGTGGAGGTATTGTGATGAAGACACCATTCCATTGTATTGTAGTCCTGAGATCGAGGCGTTCATACAGACGGACATACGGACATACGGACATGGCCAGATCGACTCGGCTATTGATCCTGATCAAGAATATATTCTGCCTTCTGCCTGTTACATACTTTGCAACGAATCTTGTATACCCTTTTACTCTACGAGTAACGGGTATAAAAAGCAGTATGGGCAGAAGTTGGAAGAAGAAAAGAAAGAGGATTTCGCAATATGTTGCTGTCTGGAAGAACAAAAGACATGCGAAAGGCCCTTGTTGAATATTAAACCGAAGTGAAAAAGGACCCAAAGCTCGCAGCAATCTGGATAGACTAGCAGATAGACCAGGTTCAAGCATACAGTTGACGAACCCCGCCGAGGGTCAAGACACTGCTGACTTCGCGCGCATTGTGAAGCCACTCAACGACCCTTGCGGAGGTACCAAATGGCACCCAATATCAGAGTCGTTGTTCAAAACACCAGAGAACACCAGAGACACTACGAGACACACAGAGACATACAGAGACACTACGACACTACTCCGGCCATGTGGGCAGTCGAAAGAATAGCTCGACTAGCAGCCCGGTACCACTGGCCACGAATGCAAAGGGACGCAAGGACATACGTTTGAAAATGCGAAGCGGGTGCAAGGTTCAAACCAAATCAGCGGCAGGAGCGGGGAAAATGTTGACACAAATCCCGGAAGAGCCCTGGGCAATAGTGTATGCCGATTTTGTCGGACCTTTGCCGAGTTCGAAGCATGGGAACAATATATTGTTGGTGCTGATCCACAGATTCTCTAAATGGACGGAGTTGGTAACCTTGCAAACAGCAAACACGGTGTAGAAATCATTTAGCGAACGCATAATCCCAAGGTTTGGAGTTCCGAATGTGGTGATCACGGAAAACGACGTGCAGTTTACCAGCGAGCGTTCCAAAAGTATGTCGGCGATATGGGAATAAAGCAACAGTTTACGGCACCATACACCCCTCAGGAGAATCTGACAAAGAGAGCGATCCGCTTTCGCCGGACAAAACCAGAGAAATTGAGATGATGAATAGACTGAGATCATGCTGGCTATAAATTTCAGTGTATCAGAATCGACAGGCTACTGAGCCTGCTACTTTTGACACAACGCGCTGTACGGTAAAAGAACGCAAGGTACAGGAAGGCAGCCAGAGTCTCCGGGAGAAATTGAATATTTTTGAAATATTTCGGAGAAACCTGGAGAAATTTTCCCAAGACCAAGCAAGACAATACAATCTTCGAAAAAGACAGTATAAGTCGTTTGGGCAAAAAATTTGAAGCCAAACTACTAGCGTGTTTCGATACCAGTGATCTGTAAAATCCACCACCGGAAAGAAAGAAAGGAACGCACGTTACACATCACCGGCCTATGGCAACAGGATCATGTAAATCCGATGGGAGAAGACACAGAAGAATGCACAGACCAGAGGTACCGTGGTACCGTACCGAGGTAGGAAAATGCAATGCAATGGTAAGACTAGCTGTATACCTGTAATACCCAGAGCATACAGATGGACCAGATGGTATAAAGCCGAAAGATGTGATACACTTGGGTTGGGATGAGACACTAGATAAGGTATATTTGCATTATTGCGCATTATATACAAATTATCCAAGCTCCTTAAATACAAATTCACCGGAAACGAAAGATACCTATTCCTTCGCATACTCTACATATCGGCATAACAGAAAAACTGAGCGGCAAGCACGATCAAAAAGAGTACATCATTGTGATTATAGATGCTTTTACTGTGTTTACTGTCTACATTATACTTTAAGCAAGGATACGGAAAACTATGTTAAGTCGATGAAGTCAATTGTGTTGTTGTTTAATTTGCTTATGCGTGTGATTGCCGATCCACGTAGACCTTTGCCAGTTCAGGATTTCACGAGTTTTGCTCTACAAAGAAAAAAAAATGTACATCTCATTGCTACAGGAGTTAGTCGAGCTTACGAACAGCTTGAGCGAGTTATGGGTACGCTTAAATAAACGAGCATGGCAGGATGCGCTATTAGAAATCCAATTGATGATTGGCAGGGAGGGGAGGCCATTCGGTTTGTTAACTATTTCTGAAGATGAGGTAATTGTAAATAAGGAAACGTAAATAATATAGCTGAACCCAAAGAAATAATGAATCGTAATGCATAGTATGATCAAACATACGTTAAGTGACTACGTATTGTTAAGAAACGAAGAGAGAAAACAAACTAAACTTAACCCAGAACTTAAAGGCCACTTTGAAATTATTGAAGTCTTAGACGGTAACCGATATAACTAGTATATAGTAAGCGTCAATATATCAGATCGTTACCGAGCAAACAAGAACTTGCAGAAACTGATGAAGAATTTGTTCGTACTATTGAAAAAGAGACTAACCCTCAAAGGAGGCAACATGCGTACACGAGGTCGTGTGCAAGTCAGGAAGGACGTGTCACAGTTATTAGAATTATTAATTCTGGAAATTCTGAAAACCATTGAAACCATTGCATAGTAATTCCCAGAAGGTAAATAAATAGCGTGACTGTGTTACCAGCTGAAAATGAGTGTAAAGAGGGAAAGAGAAATAATACCTCGTTTATAGAATAGAGAGAATGGCGAGAATTTTTAATTTTTTGTTCTTGCCGAGACTTGCTGCGCTAATAATACTCTGAAAATATGAACTATTCTAAAAATAAAATTTTTTTAGAACTAAGCCCTTTGGCACTAAAACAAGAAAACACCATAATGTTCGTTTAGTTTTCTTGAACGAGAAGTAGCCGAAGTTTATTTGAAGAAAAATTATCAACAGACTTTTTATTTAAAAATCAACAATCTACCAATTATTATTAAATGTATGACTATATAAGTGCAGTGGTAGCCAAGTAAGAAAATAAATTATAAAATGGATTCTATTTTATTTGCTGCATAACTTATGCTGCAATCCATATGACCCCCGAGTGACTCTGTCCTTCTTGATAAATGAACAACTTTACCCTACGATTTAAAGTTCAGGAGAAATAATAATATTGTTCAGTAAAGAAAGTACAGTAGAAACCGGTTATAACGACTTCGCTTATAGCGTCAGTCCGATTATTGCGACGGAAACTCGATGGTCCCCATTTTTTTGCTTTTGAACGGTATCAAAGTGTTAAAAAAAAAATAAATTTGTGGATACCCGTTATCCGATTGCTTTCCGGAATCAAACATAGTACATGGAATATGTAAAAGGTTTCTAATAAAACAAATCAGAAAATACGTAAAATAAAATCAAAAATTTCAAAAAAATTATTAAATTGAAATTTTTTTTTAAATTTTTTTTATAGTATTGGTACGTTTTCCAACGAAAAAACGTAAGAAAACGTAAAAAAAACCAATAAAAAAAAAAAGTGGTGATCGCGGCATAATCTGCAGAATTTCTGATATAAACTTTTGTTCTGACATTTTTTTCCTTTTGACTAAATAAGTGAACTATTTATAGTTAAATTTACATATTCTGCACAATCTAGCAGAATATACCCATACAGTTGTTATACCCATTACTCGTAGAGTATACTAAAGTATGAAGAGTATGTAACATGCAGAGGAAGCGTTTCCGACCATATAAAGTATAGATATTCTTCAGGATCAATTGCCGAGTCTAACTGTCCGTCCGTCCGTCTGTCCGTATGAACGCTTCGATCTCAGGAACTACAAAAGCTAGCCCACTCTACCTCCCAAAGCTTCCACGGCCACACTTCAAAAAACGATGTGTATTTTTTACCTTTTTTAATAGTCTTATAAATTTCTATCGATTTGCCGAAAGACAGCGCAAGTTTGTTAAATGATGTTGCCACGCCCACGCCTATGGTTTTGATATTTTTTAATTGTGTTAGTAGCCTTAGATATTTCTATCGGTTTGTCAAAAATCTTATTGACACGCCCTCTCTACCGCCCAACACTGCCACATCCACAAACCGACAAAAACTGCCACGCCCACATTTTTAAAAAAATGTTCAAGCTAATACTATTCAATAATTCGTAGCCAACCTATTAACGAATTGAATCGGTAACGTTCATTTTACGCAGAAGCTCACAAATTGATTTTGAAAATTGTGTAAGGTTGAAGTTAATGTGGATAAATTTACTTCACTTCGATACGAAAACCTGATTCTTACAATACATAGTTTACACACACATTTTCATAATTTTTGACTTAATAAATCTTCAGTGTATAGATCAAACACACTGAATTCTGTATAAATACATTATAAAATGCATACATATGTGATACAATTTATATAAAAAATAAAAATCAATAAGGAAAAGACGTAGCATCTGCTACTCAGTTAATGCCGATTTTTCGTGGCTGAAAGTTAGTTGTTTTGTACATAAACTGTGTCTAACAAAGTTACCTTTTATAATCACACATGCATACGTGTTATTTACTTTAGCTTAAAAAAAATCATGATTGCTTAGGTATGTACATACATACATATGTATGTATGTATATCCATGTACGTACAAACATATGTCCTGAGAACTGTTTGTATTTACTTACATACATATGTATGTAGATATTTATTAAATATTTACATATATGGGATTTGACCATTTTATAATTAATTTAACTTCGGCATTTCTTTGCAGTCCATGATTCTTTTCGGTAAAGTCGATAATTTATTAAGGTTTTTTATTAAATAATCATACATTTGTCCTAATCAGAATTATAAGATTCGTGAATGGTGTTACTTCAGGAATTCAAAACATGTTACAAACATACGTACATGCCTTTGTAAGCATATTCTATATATGTACAAACATATATACCGCCCCTACGAGTATTTCTTTTGCGAAATATACCGTTATGTACTTTCCTTGCTGAACAATTACATATACATGTGTACATACGTTTGCAGGCAGGTGTATAAATATTGGAAGTGTACATCCTGGAGCTGCACAATTATTTGCAGCTGCAAATCATCATTAGGTAGAATAGAATAGAAAAGTACATATGTACATACAAATTTCTTCATCCTTGTGTCAATAACAAATCGATTGTTCTGAAACTGATTACACATTTTCTACATACATATAAATTCGAAGTTGTTTTTTTTAGTTTTTTTTTAAGCATACAAATTCCTGTGAAAAATAGGTAATTGTAAAATATCTTTAGAAATAGTTCCTATGGTTCCTATATTATTGAATATTCTAGGATAATAAAATTCTTTTTCAGTTATTTTTTTGCCCTTGGATACGAGAAAATATAGTGAAAATTAAAATGAACAGCAATACAGATCTGCATAATTCAGCTGATCAGGACTACTCAGAATTTCTCAGCGAGTATTTACTGCAAAGCAATTCCCAAAGTATTGAACCTGAAGCCAGTTACGAAGGTTTGTATAACAAAAATAACGGGAAAGACAATAATATTTTCGTTTTCAATTTAATTTAGATGGAGAGATGGAAGCAGAGTGGTTGGTTTCCGCTGGTTATCCAGAATTGACAAAACCCTTTAAACAAGTAAGTTAATTGTTTAAAATAAATTATTATTTATTATTACTATTTACTACAGTGTACTGGTATTGACAAAGGCTTAATAAATCGTATCAATGTTGAAACAGGCTTGTTTCACTTTCACTAGCCGAGTCCGTATGTACATATAATATGTACGTCGAGATCTCAGGAACACTTAGAACTAGCCAGTTGAACTAGTGACGCATAAGAACAATTTACGTCCACCAAAATTGTCACGTCCAAACTGTTTTTTTTATTTTTTTGATATTATTTTATTTGGCTTTTATCGATATGCCAAAAACCTTTTGTTACTCGGATGCCCCCATATTATAATGTATAGACACATCTTTGCAGTCAACATTTATTGAGTTAGCATTTACCCATTAGCATTTAGCATTTCTTGAATCACTAATATTTCATGTCTTAAGTTTTAAATTACGATTTAAAGCTGTCATTGGAGGCGTGAGAAGATAAAGTAACTCCCTTCTTTGCGGAGGTAGTGTGCAATCTGGGACACTATTGTTTCCCAACTTTCATATCAATCTCCCTTACTCTTCTATTATCTGGTATCTTTCATTCTCCCTGAAGGGAATGAACAATATAAAAATTAAATTAAATTAGAAATATAGACGACTAATAAGAGTATGTAAAAATATCACAACATATTTAAAAAATGTGGGCGTGAGAGTTTTGGGCAGTTTGTGAGCGTTAGAGTGGGAGTGACAACATCATTTAATAAACTTTCGCTGCGTCTATGTCCCTGGAATCTGCATCTCAACTTTCTAGCTTTTATAGTTCCTGAGATCTCGACGTTCATACTGACGGGCATAAGCATGGTCATACCAATAGGTATGACGTCAAAGGAAGTTTTCTTTAAGCCATATTTCAAAAACTCGCGAAACAGTTCCTTGGAAGTTCAAGCTTATTCCGCGGTACTATTCACGACGACTCTGTGCCTCTCGAGCTAGTAAAGCCAATTTGTTTACAAACCGGTTTGCATACGAGATTCTGTGTTCTCCATTTTAGTCCTTTTGAGCAATGTTTTCGAACATTCTGCCCAAACTGATTTCCTACGGCTTTGACCGATTTGTAGAGTAACTGCTATTTCTGTAGAGCCTGATACGATTCGACGTTACCACGGTATTAATTCTAGGAATTCTAGGTCCAGTTGTTCGCAGTAGATGGTAGAATTAAGCGTCTGGCCAAATGGGAGCAGCTTATAGTGGATGATTCCCTGCCAATCCCACCAAACACACAGCAAAACCTTCCTGGCCGTCAATACGATTCACCGGCCTTCGACCACGACCGTTTTCGCTTGATATTGTCGTATGTGATCCATTCTTCGTCGCTAGTCACCAACTGGCTCAGTCACTTTGCTCAGTTTTTTATCTTTCTCATCAGGAAATATTTTTTTGCCTTGCCGTGGGAAGTCAGTACCCGAGTCGATCATGCCATGGCAGTCTGTCTGTCCCCGTATGAAACGTACTACCTACAAACACCCGGAAACTCCTACTTTTTGAAAAATTGTCGCACATTGTTTAATTTTATCCTGTGTCTGGTCACCGGTTTAATCATATTGGACACGCAGTGTGCCCACAAATCGCTCAAAACTGTCACAGCCACACGGAGGAGATTGACGCGATATAGTAAATCGTTTGATATTGTCGTATGTGATCCATTCTTCGTCGCTAGTCACCATCCGCTTCAAGAATGGGTCGAGTTCGTTCCGTTTCAGCAGCATATCGCAGGCGTTGATTCGGTCCAGAAGGTTTTTTTTGTCAAATCATGCGGCACCCAAACATCAAGCTTTTTTTTGTATCCAGCCTTCTGCAGATGGTTTAAAATGGTTTGGTGACTAACTCCCATATCCTGGGCGATGTCACGAGATGCCACATGCCGGTCTAACTTGATGTATTCCATGATTTGATCGGTATTTGTCGTCACAGGTCTTCCGCCGGCTGGCTTATCCATGGTGTCGGTTTCACCGGCTCTGAATCGTCGAAACCATTCCTCCGCGGTTCGAAGTGATAGAGTACCATCCCCCAAAACACCATTAATCTCACGGAACGTTTCTCTAGCGGATTTGCCTTTAACGAAGGAAAACTTTAAAATAGCGCGAATTTCGGCGTTAGTGAACTCCATGTTTACACTCTATAACTGTTGAACGCAATATCCAAACTAATCATAATTAGGTAGGTAGGTTATGTAGGTTATGTCAAGACCTTTCAAATTATGTATAGCATTGCCAGATACGAGCTCTGTAGCGCTTTGTAAAGACGCGCGAAATTCAAAAGACAAAAGGGCGGAAGGGAGATATTTGCCAAACTAATATATAATAGATTGCTTAAAGAGCGCCGGAGAGAGTCAGAACTTGAGGTCATATTTCCGAGTTCTTCGCAAATAAGGAGGGGGACGGTCGTCCTTTCGGGACGGTTCGAATCAAACTTTGACGAAGGATGTGTTTTTTGTGTTTTCGCAGTTACTGCAGTACTGCATAATAAAGTCTGAAAGCTTATATGTATTCTATTTTTCCGTTTTTAGCAGCAGATAACGTATTCCATAACTACTATGCTTTCAGGCTTTTCGTTCGGTAGTTCTATTAAAAATTAGAAAGACTCATTCATTTACGTTCTCTGTTTTAAATAATGTACCTTCTCAATTTTCAATATAAATTCAAAGTTTTAAATTATAGTATTTTGTAATCCGAAAACTATTTCATAGTAGGTCCGGAAATATCACTCGCAGACGTTGGTAACATCTGGCACACTTGAGACCCAGTGTGGTTCTTAGACATGAGCAGTCGAAGCCTTGCGGCTTTTGTGGTGGCTGTCAAATCCTTACAGAATCCTCCTTTCGCTTTCCTTGAACCTTTTTAAAAGTAGTTTTCATCACAATCTTTTTCTTTTTGGTCCTGGTATTCTTCTTTAAAATGCTTTTTGTGTCACCCTTTTAGAAAGGTGATGGTTAGTCTAGTGATGCTAGTCTTTGGCGGTCTACTGACGGGACGTAAAAGCGGCTAATTTTAAGGATTGGTTGACGAAATATACCAATTTCTATAGCGTTCTTGGATTGCCCTACGAAGCAGCGGAAATCTGACACCCTTTATCCGGGGTACCGCATTGCGCTGCACAAATGCTGAGTCGGCTTGCCGACCATGAATTCATGGCGTGCTGCATTGAAGATAATAGGATAAATTCATATTTTCCCCTTTCTCTGTATTCAGTTCTAAGCAAGCACTTTAATAATAAAGACTTGCAACTCTGGCACTCCGCCGTTAAATACATTTGTTTGATATAAATCATTCGCGCTGAGCCAAAATGCCAGTGATCAGCAAAGGGGGCCAAGTCACGTATGTATAAAACCTGGACTAGGTAGACCAACCGATCAACGTACTTCTTATCTGCCGGAGCCACTTAACTGAAGGACATCGGGTCCATAAGGAAATATAACCAGCCGGTTACTTTTTACGTCTTGGTGTTCACGGCAAGCATAATGTCGATAACCTCTTTACGGTTTCCTTTGGTTAAAGTGGACTGGCTACCTTTTTTTGGCACTGTTTGGGCCGGATCAACCCCAGAGGGACGTATACGCTGCCAAGTTTATTTCCTTAACTTAAAATTCCACCAACTGTCTTATTTTTTCCTCTCTAAATCTTGGAAACTATGTCCTATTTGTTTCTCAGAACTATATTCCTACCATTTTAACAATATATAAAAAAGAATTCTTCTGTTTTCCAAGCCTTATCCTAAACTAGTAACAAACTCTGTCTATCATGGAATCCGAACTCTACTGTCACTGCCAGAGATCCTAGAAAGCTTTCATTTCTATCGCAATGTAAGTCTTGCGAAATCGTTTTTTTACTGGTCAACAGACCACTCAACTGTGCTGATAGCTCTTCTTCAAAGCAGTTAATTAATCATGCACCCTCTAAGAGTGATGTCGCACAAAACAAGTAGCTTAAATACAGAAAGTAATGAAATACATTTGTCAGCATCCAAAGTCAAGGCAGCAATATTAACTGCCTGTTTTGAAAAGTCGTAAAATGCAACGATACAACATCTGAAAAGTTCCTGAGTTCCTGAGTCCTATACACAGCAGAGCAGCTAACTAAATCAACACTTGCAGACGATACCGCGATCATAATTCGTTCATGATTACCAATTTAAGGAACAACACTACTAGTACAATTCGTGGTATTGGAGAGGTGGCTATCAGATTGGCGTATTAAAATAAACTAACCCTGAATACTACCCAACTTTCACAAGCCAACTAACATACCTTAACGTCCACCTTGACAGGTGATCTACATGGCGGAGGTACGTCCATGTTAAAAAATCTCACCTACAACCTGTACTTTGATTTGCCTTGCAAATCTCTGTGTTTGGGAACGCGGTATGTTAGAAATGAAGGGTTATAGAAGATTTGGTATTCTTCTCGTAACAGATGAAATATCCAAACAATAAGCACCAGGCCATTTTTCGTTATCCTCCTTGTCGACAAGATCCAATAAATAAAATATAATTAAAAAAAGAAATTGCAAACCTCTAATAGGTAGAGCTTTCAGGGGTTATTAGGTGCTGGATAAGGCTTCAGGTTGCTGGTACCGTCTTCATGACTGATCTTTTTGCGGCATCCAAAGCAAACCAAACGTCTTGATACTAGTGTTTCAGTATTTCGTCGAGTTTGACGTGCTTATTTATCTTCATCTAGAATTATCGTAAGACCCTGTTCATTATAGGGGCACCATTACAGCAACTTTAATACGTATGGTAACAATATTCCGGTAAACTCATTACTTTGAACCTGTTTCCGCAGTGACGTAAAAATCGATTTTTAATACTGTTTCTCCAAGTGGTACTTTAAGTTACAATAAGTTGCCAGAGATTTGATGTAAGTGACGAGTTTGAGTCAATAACACCGGAGTTCCTGAGATGCTTTTTTTTTCAAACGATAAGTTAATAAAAACTGGCCAGGTATTCTTACCTGTCGATGTCTCTTAGTCCGCT